TGGGTGATTTCCTCACCATCCCGAGCCACGTTTTTGGCATCCCAAAATATATTCCCAGGCTCTCCTCATTAAATATCCCGATTTTTGCTGGGAAGGAGCCTTTCCAAGGGCAGGAGGCCCCAAAGAAGACCTGGGAAAATCTGGGGTGGGAATTCTTTCCTCCTTCCCTTCCACCCAGATCCTCCCTCCACCCTCCTCTGCGTGTACATCCACCCTCACAGCTCCCACCAGATGAGAAACGACCTTTCCAAGCTTTTCCTTCCCAAAAAAAACCCTCCCCAGCACCCCATGACCGCCCAGGGTGGGACTCACTCTCGATGGAGTTGTTGTTCAGGTAGAGATGCTCCAGCTTGGGGCTGATGAAGGGCACGTTGGTGAGYTTGTTGTGCGCCAGGTGCAGCACCAGCAGGTTGGTGAGGTTGAAGGAATTTTTGGGCAGCCCCTTATCCGAGATCTGGTTGTAGTTGAGCCGGATGAAAGCCAGGTTGGGGAACTCCTTGAAATAATCGCTGGGGATGTCCTCGATGTTATTCCTGTCCAGGAAGAGCTGGTGGATGGCGCTGGGCACGCCGGGGGGCATTTTCCTCAGGATGTTGTGGGCCAGGTTGAGCTGCATGAGGTTCTTGAGCCCCTTGAAGGTGTTTTTATTGAACACACCATCGCTCAGCTTGTTGTGGTGCAGATCCAGCAGCACCAGGTTCTCCAGCTTGTTGAAAACACCAGCCGGGATCTTGGAAATCTGATTCCTGCTGAGCCGCAGCTGCTCCAGGTTGGGCGGCAGGAAAGCGGGCACCTCCTTCAGCTGGTTCCTCTCCATGTAGAGAAACACGAGGTTCTCCAGCTTCTCCAGCACCTTCCTGTCCACCTTACGGATGCGGTTGTTGTCCAGGTTGACCCACTTGAGGCCGGTGGCGTTGCGGAAGGACTCCTCGGGCAGGTCGGCGATGAAGTTGTTCTGCAGGTACAGGTAGTGGATGCGCGCCGGGATGGTCGGCACCGTGCGCAGGTTGCGGCTGTCGCAGTACAGCGCCGACGGGAAGTCCGGAGGGCAGTAACATTCCCGGGGGCAGTCCGGGAAGATGGATGGGGGTCCCGGAGGGAGGGGAGGGGGCAGCTCGGTGGGTTCCACGGGCTCCACGAAGGGGGCGGGCGGCCGGGTGGGTCTGCGGGGGGGTTTGCGGCGCTGCCCGCTGGCCGGAGGGAGCAGAGCGAGGGCGAGCGAGAGGAGCAACGCCAGGGCTGCCTTCATGGTCCGGGTGTTTTCCTGGAGGGGTGATAAGGACAGGGTGTTGGGAAGGAAATGGCACACGTGGGGATAATCCCTCTGCCCACCTGCCTTCCTCTCTCCTTCACTTTGGAAATTGTCTTCAAATGCAACTCAACCCCAGGGCATGAATCGCTGAGGTCCCTAT